GCAGCGGGAATTCGTTGAATTTTGAAATTGTGCATCTGAAATTTGAGAAATTCAAAACCTGAAACGAATATTTTAAGCGGTCAATGATTCAATGCTCTGGGCTCTTCTATATTTGATGGCCATTGACCAGGACCAAGCTTGCCTTTTGCAATTGACTGACTTTGATAACCAAGTCGTCGCAATGTGAGATCCTCCTTCTCCCCCAACCCCAACCTTACTGGCCCGGAAAAGAAAAATCCCAAGAAAATTTGTCAAGACACTTACTTCTAAGTAATGGATTTCAATGTTCTTGAGTTTGGATTTGGATTTGTATTTTGCAAGTTAGACTTAGGATGTGTTTGGAGGAAATTAAATCATGATTTTAAAAATAATTTTATAATATATGAAGTAAATATATTAAAAATTTGTTTCGGTTTGTGAAAAAAATATTTTTAAAAAAACAGCTTAGGAAATCTGCGAATACCTTTTCAAATACAGGATATAATGTCAAACTTAATTTTTTTAATAAAAAGTATTTAGAGTTTTGAGCCTGACTATGAGCTCTGATAAATTGACATCAAACCAACTTACATTCCCAGCTCTGGCCCCCATTTAATGAGACTGGGGGCCTTTTGACTCATCCCTCTAATTTACAAAATGTGCGTGTTATTAAAAATTAAAAAATGTAGCCAAAAATTGAAAACAAAATAAAAGGGATCCTTTAAAGTTTAAACCAGCAAGCTCATCCGCCCTTTTAACGTGACGATTGTGTCTTTAAACATTCAAAATTCGGTAAAATATAACCTTCAAAAGAACAAAATTTTCTTCTCTTTACAGAAGCCAATTTTTTTCACCTTGTAATATTTCAGGTCTGGACTATTAAATTCTTATCCACAACGTCTCGGTTCAGGATCATTAGATATTAGACTAAGGGGGTGTTTTGAATTAGACAAAAGTACTTTTAAAATTCTTTTCCGTAAATTGTTTAAAATACTTTTCTATAAATTCAGATAAACTCCTTCATATAGAATCACTTTTAAAATTATAGCTTGATTTCTATCAAAATACCCATAAAACTGGAAGAATTGTTGGCTTCAAGCACGTAACTTTTTTTTTTTTTATCAATTCACTGAAATTCATGCATTATTTCAAGCTCGAATGCTATGTAAATTAAATTAACTGACTTGATATTATTAGCTATTAATTATTAAACAATGAGTATTTAAATCACTAGTTCGGTAATTATATTTTGAATGTATTCATCCGGTCCTTAATGTAAAATATAATGAACTAATTTAAATTGATTAAAGATATTAGTTAAATTAGTCAATATGATATTTTTTTTCTAAAACACCTTAAGCATATTTCTTAATTATCTCATTCTTTTACTTAATTATTGTTGGGAGAATATCAATAGAGTTGATTTAGAAAAAAATTTATGAACATGTAAAATAAATATCATATATAGGACCTAAATCAACTCTCTAATTAGATTATACATTAAGGACCAGAAGAGTAGATCTTTTTTTTTTGGCCAACATCTTGAATTTACATCTGCGTTTAATTTAAAAGTATATAAGTTCGATGTCCAAAAGTATATAATTTTTCTTTGAGTTAATACAAACTTTGATATTTCAAGTTTGTCCTCATTTTGATTTTGGTTTCTTAAGTTTTAAACTATAAGTTTTGGTCTTTTAAATTTCTTTTTATTTAAAACATTGGTTCCTATAATCTTAAAAAAACTCAGATCATTTTATCTCTTGATGGATTAAAACTTATGGTTTGAAACTTGAAAGACCAAAACAAAAATAAAGACAAACTTAAAGAACAAAAAATTATATTAACCTTTTTTCTTTTAATGACATATATTTTCCTATTAGAGGTAATTATGCTCAAGACACTGTCAAGTATTAAATATGTACATTTCTCTCAATAAGATTTAAATATTTATTTGTTATATGATGAAGAACTAGCCCATTCTACGTGATCCAACCGTATTGGGGAAATATATAATTTCATTTGTTCACATTTGTTATATTTTTCCCATATGTGTATTTTGTTGGGAACCCACTGTGGCCTAAGCGGCTAAGCCCAGCTAACGGGCAACAGCAACAAATAACGGATCGCGTAGTTCTTCTTTGTTCCTTGTGAGGCCCAACTCAACCCCAGTACCAAAGAACAGGACAACGACATAAGAGGAATTTGGCAAAACAAGATATTTATTTATTAATGTTTTTACTAAATTTAGACAAAATTTAAATAAATTCAATTATTAAATACTTGGTTGAAAATTTGAACAAAGATATGGTTTTTTGAAATATATTTAAAATTTTTTAATTATAACATATTAATACAAGAACCTTTTATAACTCTATAATTTAATTAAATATATATATATATATACAATCGCAAAATATTTTCAATCAACATATATATTTAAAAGATTATATTACAGGTAAGTTTTAATAAATAAATGATATGAAAAATTTAAATTACTGAAAAATAAAATTTTATATTTATAAAATTAGTTAAATTTTTAATATGATAATTGATTTAATAGCATAACAAAAATATTAGAATTTATATTTTTTAATTTTGAATAAAGATATGTCATATGTAATTAAAAGATAATTATTAAATGATATTTGTGTTAAGAAAGACTATTTTAGTCGAAACAATATCTTAATGTTATGATTTTAACGGTTAATTAATGATTTGCGGATAAAATTGAAAGTTGACTGTCAAAATTAAAAGAAACATTTGTGAAACATGGATTTTTATTTTAAGAAAGATTATGGGATTTTAAAATAAAATTTTTTTTATAATCAGTTGATAAAGGGTCCGTTTGGAACAGTTTATAAGTAGCTTATAAGTAGTTTTTTAATAATAATTTACAAAATACAAGACAAGTATATGATAAGAGTTTTGTCTCGATTTACATGAATCATGTCTATAGGGGATTTTTTTAACTCTCTCAAAGAGGCTGAAAATACGTCGATGTGATATGATATTATGATGTCATCACTCGCTGCCTTTTTTTTAAAAAAAAATTTTGAACCAAGAAAAAGGGAAATTTCAAATAAGACTGTCTGTAGCAGAGTGGACAAACTATCAGCTTCATGACAAGCAGCTGTTACTATGCATTTTAATTAAGGACATGTTTGGGTGTCCCACAAAACCATGATTTGGACGGCAAAACTATGATTCAGATGGGATCTCATCCAAACAGCATCAATTTTAGAAAAATAATTTAAAACCATGTTTTGAGCCAAAACCATAGTTTTGAAGCCCAAAATCATAATTTCAGGAGAAGTAAATCCATTCTGTTTTTGATTCAAATTGGAGAATATGATTATGTCTATCAATAAATCTCAACAATAATATGACTTAACATTCTTCAATTATTTTTTTATAAACATATTTAATCTTATATCTTATAAATATATACACATATTAATTAATTATTAATTATATTATCTTATGTATTATTAATTATGTTAGTAAAAAATACTCCCTCCGCTCCTTATTATAATAGACATTTGATGCTTATGGCATGTTCCCATATATAAGAGACACTTAAAAGTTGTCTCTAGTTTTTTGTATTGATTTCCTATTTTACCCCTATTTATTTTGTCTCCTACTCATACTTTCTCTCCCTTCCACTTCTCTTTCTTTTAATAATTTAATTGTTCTCTCTCATACTCTCTCTCCTTATTAATAGGGGTATTGTTGGAAAAAATATTATACTTTTTACACATTAATTGTCCTCAACTAATTTTAACTGTTTTTTTTGATCAACGTAATTTAGTTATTTGTCTCTTATAATAAGGAACGGATGGAGTATATTATTAACAATTTTATTCTTTCAAATTAAAGTATATCATAAAATCTATCTTTTATGTAATTATCATATTAACTATGAGTATATAAGAAATGTATTGAATCAATTTTTTTTAATGAATCGATCCAATCGCAACTTCAAATATGGAATTCAAAGGTATCAAATAGGAAATGATACTCTGAATCATAGAACTATAATGAAATACAGGATCGTATGTAATTATTATATTAATTTATGTCTTTTTTAATAATTTGTATATATAAAAGGTGTTTCTGATAACAACTATCTAAACATTTTAATTTCACAAATCTATTTTTCACAAATCTATTCTTCAGATACTATTATCTAAATAATGATTTGGTTTCATTCAAACATTCTTGGGATCATTGTCTCTTTTTCTTGTTTTATTTTTTTGGGAACAGTTGGCTAAGCCCGTGATCGCCTTTATTTAGGCGCCGAAAGGGTCGTTCCGTCTTCATACTGGGAATTGGGAAATAGGAGGTACACCTTGATTTTATTACTACTTTTTCGTTCTTTGGATTCCCTGCTTTTTTTACTTTATTATTATTATTATTATTATTATTATTATTATGTGAATTTATTTTTTTTCATTTTTATGTTTCATCCTAATTTAGTAATTTTCGCCGGAGACGTAAAAAATATAATAACTCAAATACAAACGACGGTACTTCAATTTTTCATAAAAATAAGATTAATATAATATTTGGTTATTTAAATTTGTTTTCATTTAAATTTCATTTTTTAAGTTTTAAACTATAGGTTTTTATTTTTCAAGTTTCTTTCCATTGGTTCTTATAGTTTAATTAATGAATAACTAAATCATTTTATTCAAACTTAAAGGTCAAAATAAAGGCAAAATTAAAAGGCTAATCCTAAAAATAAGATTAAAATATAAATTCACATGTTACGGTTACGGCGGCGTTGGCAAAATATAGTCACATGCTATGGGCCTTTTTTGGTGAATGATCTGTCCTCTTTATTTTGCCCTTTTTTAATTTTGATTGAATCATATTTAATAGTAGTATTAGAAATTAATTATTACTGAAATATTTTCACACTTAAAAAATAAATTAATGTCAATATTAATCAATATCAACTCTTAGTGGGCGAACTTTTTTTTTTTTTTGGTCAATCTTAGTAGGCGAACTTAAAAACGTAAAAGAAAGCCAGTTGTACGTTGAAAAAGAAAAAGACAGAAGAAAGCCAAGTCGTACAGTGGTGATCAATAACTCAACAGTGACCCTAATCACACCGGGTCACACACACATACACAGGAAGAGCTCAACAGAGTCAGAACCTGTAGCTGGAAGTCGGAGAAAGTGTGAAGAGACGAGGGAAACATGGCAGCAAAAGAGGCATTGGAGTCCCGGAACCAAGCGCGACTGGCAATTCTGGAACTGGCCAACATGATCAGTGTGCCCATGTCCCTCAATGCCATCGTCCGACTCAACGTTCCCGACGCTATCTGGCAGTCCGGCTCCAACACTCCCCTCTCCGCCTCTGAGATCCTTTCGCGCGTCCTTCCCACCGGCGGCGATGCCGAAAATCTCCAACGAATCCTTCGTATGCTCACCAGTTATGGCGTCTTCGCCGAGCACATCGGCTCTGGCGGCGAGAGAAAATACTCCCTAACCGACGTCGGCAAAACCCTCGCCACCGATGACGAAGGCCTATCCTACGCGGCCTACGTACTCCAGCACCACCAGGCTAGTCATTTTGGAACCAAGTGCATTAATTGACTTTGTTCTGTATCTCAATTTTTTGCATAAATGGATATCGAATTGATAAACAGGACGCGTTGATTCGAGCGTGGCCCTTGGTGCACGAGGCAGTGAAGGACTCAACGGAGGAGCCGTTCGTGAAGGCGAACGGAGAGGCGGCGTACGATTACTATGTGAAAGATCCGGAGATGAACGAATTGATGGTGAAGGCGATGTCGGGGGTATCGGTACCGTTCGTGAAGGCGGTGCTGGAGGGTTACGATGGTTTCGAAGGGGTGGAGAGATTGGTAGACGTGGGTGGGAGTGGAGGGGATTGTCTGAGGATGATCTTACAGAAACATCCGAGCGTGAGGGAAGGGATTAACTTCGATCTGCCTGAAGTGGTGGCGAAAGCACCGGCAATTTCTGGTAAGCCGTGAGATCGGGGAATGGTTATCTCGTAATTTCACCGACTGATTGAAGATCCCGATCGGGAGAATCAGTGATGGCGTGATTCTCTGTTGCTATTGGCTGTTATCTGTGGCTGATTTCATTTCAGGGTCACTCACGTGGGAGGTGACATGTTCAAGTCTATTCCTCAAGGGGATGCCGTCTTCATGAAGGTGCGTGTTCGGTAACTTCGCTCTGATAGTCTTTAAATTTGGTTGGCTACAATGGCCTAATTCCCTAGTAATTCCCATCCTACACCACCGAAAACGACAAAAATGGCTTAATTAATTAGTTAATTGCGAGAGGGATAGCATTTGATTTTTTAAAAAAAATAAGGAAAAAATAAACTGATAGAGGGTTCTAGCCATGAGCCTTTACCAAGTACGTGTGCCATTGGCAGGGGTGGCATTTATATGTTGTCAAGAATTTAATTTTACATTTATGAGATAATTTTTTTAAAATATCTATTTCGTACAGTATGAAGTTATTTAAAATAAATTAAATGAATAGTCCTTAATTTGTTAGTTAGAAATAATTTATACTGTATATGGGATTAGGAAAACTATGTTTTATATTTGACATTGACATTATGGTACCGATGTTTGTCCATCCACATCGGCGTTCCCACCCACCCAACCCCGTCCCATCCTGAATCGAGCATTCCGCTATGGGATTTCGGATAGAAAATCTGGAGCATGCCAGATATTTTAATCCGTGTGTTAATTGATATCCTCCACAACTTTTATTTCTTCAAATTTAATTTCATCGCGCGATAGGAAAATCTCGATAACGACAAAAAAGATATTTTAATTTCTCCTCCGTTCTCATCGATGATATGAAAAATCGTTTGTTTTTTATCGAGTTAAAGTGTAGTGCATTAACCGAGTTCCTGGCAAGCCCACGTGATGGTGTGAGTGAAATGATAAATCAAAATTGAAGTTGTCCGTTATTCAAGATATTGCTGCTAAGAGATATTATCAGTTCGACATGGACTCATTAGGAAGCGCTGAGTTGTCTGCGGATTCGATATTGGACTCTTATCACGCCTGGCGTACGTATTGCTTGGTGCAGGTTTATTTATGTTTTTGACGGATCTTCTCCCAAGAGAGAATCTGTCTTTGGAGAAGACCAGATCTTCCGCATAAGAATGAATCTTGGTCCAGAGTATTTTATATTATCTCTTTCAGAGAGCTTTTTAGTGTTGATTAGAATGGCCAAGACTTCGCAAGATATTTAAACTCGCATGTTTTTGGTCGTATGGAGAGGGATCTAGTTACACTGTTACATATACACATATGCCAGATAAAACAACCAATTAACCAGCTTTAATTTAATTCCTCCCCAGAAGTTATATTAATATTGAGAAAAAAGAGTGGGTGTAATTGGATTGACAGTGGGTACTGACAACGTGGACGGACGAGGAGTGCAAGAGGATACTGGAGAACTGTTACAAGGCTCTGCCGGAGGGAGGAAAAGTGATAGCTTGTGAGCCAGTGCTGCCCGAGGAATCAGATGACAGCCACAGAACTCGAGCATTGCTGGAGGGTGACATTTTTGTGATGACAATCTACAGAGCCAAAGGTAAGCATCGCACCCAGGATCAGTTCAGGCACCTCGGCCTCTCTGCTGGTTTCTCTCGTTTCCGTGTCCTCCATTTTGACTACTTCTATGCCCTCCTTGAATTCCAAAAGTGAACATTTGTACCCACTTCTTCTTACCCTTCATTTACTGTTTTGACCTTTGTTTATGATCCACATTCCAGACCTGGTTATGCGCACAGTATTGTTAGCTAATTCCACGTCTTCATTTTGAATGATTTCAAGCCTTCTAAATTTACCATATCACCATGGATCACACTAAGAAATGAAAAGCATTTCGAATTGAACTGATGGTTGTCACGTTATCTACTTATGGGCGATTTTATATCACGGGGTCTTGTGTGTGTAATACACCTATGCATGCATTTTATATTATTATATATACTCACTTCTGTCATAAATCGTAGAATTTTAACTACAAGTTGCGTTGTACACAAACCATTGAAAGTTACGTGCTTAAACGTTGTTAAATACTATCTGATCTTCAATATAATGACTAGTCTTTTTAATATAAGAATTAGTTTGATATTCAATTTGGTCCTGAACATAAGATTTCAAGTAATTTTATTTTTTATATTTATCTTTTTTTTAAGTAATCTTTGTAGTAGTTGTACATATTCAGGATTTCATCAAATAGTAGTTTTAATTAATACACATGATTAGTAAATGTTTTTTTTAGAAAAAATAATTTCTATTTATTATAAATAATTAGCTCAATAAACTTTTTTAATATATTTAAATCAGTCAACTAATTCTTGTATTAGATATCAGAGTTGGTTTATAACTTGTATCATTAGCACGGATGCCCTTTGTTATTTCATGAAGGTTGAGTATAAAAACTCTAAACAGACCATCTGATGAGATTTCAAGGTTCAGGATTGAGTTGAATATCATGCAATAGCATATCTTATCTGTGTTTTTGCAGTCCCTAATTCAAATAGTTCAAACAAGCATAAAACTTTATTACATTAGTTTCAAGTCAGCCAAACACAAACAATTTAAAACAAATGAATATTGAGTTTCATGCTCAATCATGTACATAATAATTATACAACACATTTTCTAGTAACTACATTTCACCAGCGGAAGACGGATGTTTTTGCGTTTGTTATTAAGAGGGTTTTAAGTTAATAAATAAAATTTGTTTCTATTTCTTGCGCCAATATATATATGGCAACTGGAAAGCGTTTTTTTTTTTTTAATTAATGTGATGGATTAGAATTTGGATAGAGCAAAAGCGAATGATTAAACAAGCCACGTTAATGCGTCCAATTGAAGGATTAGGGTTGGATTTGAACACTGTTCACTTCAGAATCTGGATCTTCTTTCCTGATTTAAATTTTAAAATCCAAATCTGTGCAGTGACTTTGGTACTGTGTCAAAATGAAAACCACTCACACAACACAAGAAATATTATCTCCCGTTCTAATTATAAAATTTCGTTTGTAGGGTTTTATAATTAGAACCGGAAGTAATATGTTAATTTAAAAAAAAAAAACAACAAAGCACATGCAATAAAATATAAGCCTGGCTTTCAGCCAATAAACGTGAACCTCGCGGTTGAAAATCGACGACTGCTTAAGCGTGAACCTGCGTGTGCGTGATATGGGTAAATGACCGGAAGGAGTATAAATGCAATTAAAAAAGTTATTGCGGCAGTTAAAACGTTGTCATGACTTATTATGCAATTTTTATTTCATGTTTTGCGGAGTGAATTGTCGATTATGAATTTATGATGTGGTACTTAACAAAAAAAAAAAGAACAGAATTATCATTGCGCGGATTTATAAAACTAAAGCAAATATTAGATGATACTGTTGTGCCTTTCTAATAACCACTTAGGGGGCACCTAGCCCAACAAATAGTGCATGAGCTGTGTGGACTTTGCGGTATCAAGCAACCAGGACTCCTTCTCGCAAAGAAACTAGTTTCAATACTCATCATTTTAATAAGTACTTTAAACTTATCAGATTGTGACATTCTATATCTTATTTGAATGATTCAGATTTAAAATATTCAATTAATTATTTTTAAATAGGGAAAATTATTTTTTGAAAAACATGATAGTTACGAGATAATCTTTATTTTAGAATCTATACATATTAAAATAATTATTCTAAAAAAATTAGAAAAAAAATCAAATTCAAACCATTCAAATGAAATATAAACAATCAAAATCTAATGAGTTTAAACTTTAAAGTGAAATTACTTTTGTCCCGCGAGCAGGATCAGTTATCGTCCTTTCCGCAGGTTAGTGTTCTCCCTGCTTTCTTATCTTACTCTTTATCCTCTTATGCTTCTTTTGTTTGCCAACCAAACTCAATGACATTTCTTGTGATAAAATTTTATTACGGGACTTTCGTTAATAAAACATATTACTGCACATCAAAGTGGCGTACAGATGAAAGCAAATGACTTAATTAACTCAAAAAAACAAAGAAATTAGCGTCTGGCCCATCAATTAAACTGCTTTCAGATTCCTTTGATTCCACACGAGTTTTACATAGAGGCCATACCTTTTCTGCTCGAAAAGAGAGAAAACGTCATGTGAAAAGTATATAATTACAATAAAAATAATAAGATATGAAAACGATATGCCTTTAAAAAAGCAATTCAAGAGTATATACTCTTTTAACCTAGGCTTCTAATGACCTTGGCGCACACAACAGTCACACTAACCAAAATGCTCTTTCTGTTTTACTCGTTACCTAATAACTAAATGTTGGTGTTGGGAAGGGGTCTTTTATATGAGCCTTCTCTTTTATATTCTTTGCATAGTTTGTAATTCTCCCTTTCTCATCCTTTTTTATTTTCTTCGTGTTCATTCTCTCTGCAACCTTATTTTCTCTTATTTGTGTTCATTTTTCTTCGTCATGACTAAATCTAGCCAACATGGTCGGTCGATGGACGGAAGTTGCTGAATTTCTATTATGGCAACATCAATACGAGGAATTGGTTCAAAGAAGAAGGCTTCAGAAGGTTGAAGCTATGGGCATCAAGGTAAGGTTTTTGATCTCTTTTTTTGATCTTTCATCGACTTTTAGTTTACATTAAGCTCACCTTGGGTGTATGATAAGTTTAATCTAGTACTCCTCCAGTCCTTAATATAAGACCCATTTAACTAATTTGATTAGATTAAGGAAGTTAGGTAAGTTAGTTAATTATAAGAAATATGACACGTTTTTCCTAAAATACCATAATCATATTCCTTAATACCTCATCTTTCTCTTCTACTTGATTATGATTGAAAGGGTATCCATAGGGGTAATTTAGAGATAATTGATAAATATGAGAAATAGGTCTTATATTTAGGACCAAAACTAACTCACCAATTGGGTCCTATATTAAGGACCGGAGGAGTAATTGAATTCTTGACTTATCCCTAGAGAAACTCATGACTTGTTATCACCTCTATCAGAGAAACCCGGCCCGTACGTGCTCTAATGCCAAGTGATGTGGAACAAAATAAAAATGCATGACCTATTAAAAGAGTCTTGGTTCTAATGAGTTGTCTTGACGTTTCGTGTTTGTCATTGAGGAAAAAAAACAAGAAAACTTTTATTGATTGCCTCACTATATGAAAAACTATGGATAAATTAGTTAAATTTATTCCACTAAACAATTTGATAGGGAAGAATAAAATGAAAAGATACAACATGTTGGGGAAACCTATACTCTGATACCAAATGATATTCTTGCTCTCATGGATGTGGTAAGAGCTAATTCAAATGCTTCAAATCCATTATCGAAGAGGAACTGCTTTTGTTGTTGTTTCAGTGTCTAAATTAAATGGGTTGGAACATTTTAGTAAGACTATTCCAACCTTCAAGGCTTTAGTTTTTGTCTTATTTCAATATTGTTTACTTTCTTCTTATTCTTTATTTGCAGGAACCTAGCTTCAATGTGCTTATCATCCTCTGGGATGGTTATATAATGACTCTGAAAGCACCCCGTCAAAATGAACCGGAACCGAATGAGGAGAGAATACAATGAAAAAAGATAAAACCGTTGAGACTTTACTTGCCACACCTCACAGACTTGAAAACTATATCACTCATGAAAACAGAAAAAATCCTCTCAACGAATATCCAGTTTGTTTTGCGCCTTAATTTGGCTTTCCTTTTCTATGGTATGCATCAATATAATACGTATACCTTCCTCTCGTAGCTCCTCTCACCACACTCACAACATTAATATTGACAAGTGTCTAGTTGTGTTTATGCATATAATATTCACACGTATAATGAGCATTTTATAGGTAGATAGATAGTACTCCTTTTTCTTGACAAAATTATTTCATTAATAAAGTTTTCGTAGATATTTCATTAAATCGTGTAGATTTTATTCCTCATATGATAACGAGACCCTTAAAAATTGAGGGTAGTTGAATGTCAAGTAAGCACTAATTTAGTTTTCTATTATTAGAATTTCTGAAAGATCAATAACATTATAATATTAATAATTTCTATTATTAAGAATAAAAAATAAAATTTAAAATTATCTTGATAAAACCGCTTGGGCAGTAAATTAGGTATGAAATACATTAGTACATATATAGAAAAGCGAACAATATTGTTATTAGAAAAAGTTAAAAAAATTCCGGATTGGCTTGCATAAAATATTATGTTTAAAAATTCTGAAGTCGGCTTTCGTGAAAATATTATTTGCCATTTATCGGTAGCTGAAGACTTAATGTCGGCCGTTAATAAGATAATACTCCTCCGGTCCTTAATATAAGACCTATTTAACTAATTTGATTAGATTAAGGAAGTTAGGTAAGTTGGTTAATTATAAGAAAAGTGACACATTTTTCCTAAAACACCATAATCATCTTTCTTAATACCTCATCTCACTCTTCTATTTGATTATGGTTGAGGGAGTATCTATAAGGGTAATTTAGAGAAAATTGATAAATATGAGAAATAGGTCTTATATTTAGAACTAAACCCAACTCAACAATTGGGTCCTATATTAAGGACCAGGAGTAATATTATTGCAACCATTTTTTTTTTTTGGGTTGGGATTTGTTCCATGTTTTGGACGGAGATGGATCCATTTCCCTCATTTTGCAACACGCCTTCTTTCCGTTATAATTCCATACAAGTTCGATTTTTCTCTTCCTTTGACAACTTGGTTTTGTTCGAGCGACCGGCCAAAATCATTACGAGGTTCATTATTTTACTGTAAAGCGTCAACTCTTTTCAGTTTTTTCAACCCCTCAAAACTAAGCCATTGCCCATTTGGGAACAGGCTGTATCATTCTGTTGCTTGGCAAAATGGCAGAGCTCTTCACTCTGTCATGTGCCTTAATCGGCCTCGTAGTTTGCAGTCGCACCATCTTGTTATCCTCTCCTGTCTCGATGCAACTGAAGGGATTTCAGAGCGTTGAGACCTATAAATTCTTGGCCAACCAGCGCGCGACGCGTCAGCCTACAGGTACTGTGCTGTTTCCTTCGGGTTTGCTTCCTCTTAATACTTCACTTCTACTTCATGCCTATCAATATATATATGTCCCCAACAATGTAACGCCAATGGTTGAAGCAACAATTTAATAACGGATACCCGCTAGCTTACGCTTCACTTTGTTTCTCTCGCTAATTGACGTTATTCACTCTCCCTCCCTCTTCTCCCTCTTGTTGGTAATGGTGGTTGAGGACATGAAAAGTAGTGGGGAAGGTGGTGGTGATGGTGAATGTAGCCATGCTTATTTTGAATTAGTGGGAGTGACTGGAGAAGAACCGAATATGACCCATAGCAGATCAACACAGAGAGTTAGAGGGGGCAAAATGTCTAGGCTGCACCAAAATGGGTCATCTAAATCAGTGAAGAGAATTGGCTTCAAATTCTCCCATTTAAAGGCCTTCCAGGTTCCTTTGATTCTATTTCCTATTTCCATAATATCTTTTTTAGTTTTCTTCTCTTTAATTGTTTTGCTTGATTGTTTAACTTCAGGACATAATGGGAAGGAATCAACTGTTCATTGCATTGTCTGTGTCTTAAATAGGATGATCTTCTGCATTGAGTTCACCTTGTGCATTATATATTTTCTCTGGGAACTGATGATCATAATGATACCGCGCCTGATATGATGTAGTTGTGATGAGTGGAAACTAGATGCTTTTTTGTGATCAGAGAAGATGGAAAAGCAACTGAGCTGGAGCGATTAAACACACAATACAGTGACATTTCTTGCGTATTTAAAATAATACAATTTTGACAGTAATTGGAGATGTTTAGGGAATGTGGCACTATTTAAAATCAAGAACTTGGTACAGACTACATCAAATCCAGGTTACAGGGGATGATTCTGACCACAATTTTTTGCATTGGTAATGAGCTGGTAAAATATGGCTTAAGTGCATCTCAAATTTATTATTTGGTGGCTTTCTATGTCATGGGCTAACATAGTCATGTATTATTAAAACCAGCTGCTATAGCATGATAACTTCTTTATGGAAAAGCTATGCTGATATTCACAAGGTCTTTAATGACAGCTGCATGTGGAAATCCTTTGAAAGGGTATTTGGGGTTGCAAAGGAAAAATAAGGCTGCTTCAGTTATTATTCATTAATTAATGCTGATTCTTATATAACAGGTGCCGAAGGGGTGGGACAAGCTGTTCATTTCTGTTATCTCTGCAGAAAGTGGCAAAACAATTGCAAAATCAAGCAGAGTACAAGTGCGCAATGGAGGCTGCCAATGGGCGGATTCTATTTCAGAATCCATATGGGTTTCAAAAAATAGTTCTTCCAAGGAGATAGAGGATTGTGTCCTCAAGCTGGTTGTTGCCACGGTACTGCCACTATTGCTGCTATTGTTTTGTTATGTACTTCAAACCTACTTAGAATCCATGCTTTGCATGGGATTTTGTACTTTTTAGGTGATTTCTCTATCTGGTAAAATCTGTTCTAAGAATTTCTTTGATTTTCTAAAAGAGGAACATGTGATTCATAATTTCCCAACAGGGATCACCAAGATCTGGCATCCTTGGAGAAGCTACAGTAAGTGTGACCAATTACATGAGTTCAAGTGCTGCTGTTCCTCTTTCAATCCCACTCAATAAGTGCAACCATGGGACAGTTTTGCATGTGAGTCAGATAACTTAGGCCTTTGGAATTTACTTTTTATTTTACATTGTACTGGTTTCAGAAAAAGAAAAGCATCCCTTTCTTGATTTTCTGGTCAGTCATGTTGTGAGATTGGATGACTGGCTCATTTTTTATTCTGTGCAAAGCACAGGACGCATATTCTAGTTACTATCAATAATCATACATGCTTAGAAGAGTATATGAAGTCAAAACCTGGGTCCTTTTTACCTAAGTTAGTACCACACATTGATATCACTGAACTTGGGTTGGGTAATTGTTCTTTTGGGACAATTGAAGTTGGTAACTAAGTGGTTCTACATTTTACAGGTGAGTGTCCAGTGTCTCACACCAAGAGGACAATTAAGGTATCTATTTAAGGATTGTATTTCCTGTCATCTTAGACTATCATTCTTGAGAGTATTGATCTCTTGTACATTTTCAGGGTTCAAGAATCAAGAGAGAGATACCAAACAAAGGCTCTGAATGCGGACAATCATGATGCAACTATTGAGTCTAATGGATCTAATCATTCATATGTACAGAATGTTGGATCTCACTCCAGTGGAGATTTAGTCTCTGCCTCTGCTCCTCCAGAAGTTGAGAGTAGGGTAAGATCACAAAATTTCTAGTTCAGTGGTAACCTCAGATTAATATACTTTCATGGCTTGTATGGAGCTGCAAATGAAATTTGATCCTAATGAGTCTTAAGGCCATTCGTTTTTTTAAGAGTCTAATTCAGCAAGGGTTCCTATCTGCCATGAGTTATGACACAATTTGTTTTTGTTTAGTCTAAATCGTTATACTGGTGACATGTTTTCCCTTGACTATAGGCAACAAGTTACTCTGGACCTGGTTCACATGGCACTTATAACTCAGCCGAGGGGTCGATAGGAAGGGGAGGCATCTCTCAAAATAACTCTTTGAGAGATGATGGACCCAGCCGAATTGGAAAACCTGATTCAGTCAGTTTCCAGAACAAGTCATCTCTCTGCTATGCTCCTTTTTATGATTCTTCTCAATCGAATTCTTCATCATTCAATTCCCAGACTACAGGCCCAGGGAATTTGTATTGTTTGCAAGAGTTTGGTACTTCAACTTCTGGCGTAACCAATTCTTCTAAGATCCGTGTTGATGCTGCAGAAGACATAGTTGAGGAACTTCGGGCAGAAGCTATGATGTGGGAGATGAATGCTCGGAAACTGATGGTTGATTTGGACATGTTGAGGACAGAATTCTCAGAACAGTCTAAAAATCTGGCAGATTTAAGAGTGGAGCTTTCAGATTCATGTGTGGAACGTGAGACATTGAGAAGAGAGGTTCAACAATTGAAGCAGTCATTGGAGGACCAGATGGCAAAACAGAAAGCATTGGAGGATTCATCATCTCAAGGTGAATTTACTCCAGAAGTAGAGAAGGCTCTTAAAGATGAGTTGAAGTTTCAGAAAGAATCCTATACCAACTTGTGTTTGGAATTGAAGAGGAACCAGGAAGCGAATCTTGAGCTTGTTTCTATTCTCCATGAGCTTGAAGAGACCATAGAACAGCAGAAAATTGAGATAGATAGTCTTTCAGCTTTGGAGAACAAAAGGCTTGACGTTGAAAGTGCAGAGAATACTATCAACAAAAACCTTGTGGATCTTGAAATACAATATGAAAGCAAATTATCTGCAAAAGAGGGGGAGATTTTAAATTTGAAAGCAAAGTTGTCTGAGTCCGTCAAAGAAAGGTGTAACACAGAGATTGTGTCTCGAAATGGAGGTGATGTGGATCTGATGAGTGAAATTGAAGTTTTGAGAGGAAAAGTTCAAGAGCTAGAGATGGAATGCAATGAGTTGGCAGATGAAAATCTTGAGCTTTTATTCGAGCTTAAGAAAGTGAAGAACAATTCAAGAAGGGGAGCATGTGTGGATTTGCCGCCAGATATCTCAGATGCATTCCAAGCACTCCATTTAGAAGACATGCTTGAAGCAGGGGTCATAGGCGAGGTTAAAAATGATGATCAGATTTCAATTCAAGAGCTCCAGAGTTCAAAAGTTGCTCTTGAAATCAGAATAGCAGAACTGAATAATGAGGTGACTGATAAAACATCTCAGATGGCAGATCTTGAGGCTAATTTGTTATCTAAGGAAAAGGAGATCAGGGTTCTGCAGAATCGACAGAGTGAATTGGAAGCAAAGGTATGCGAGTTTCAGGAAGAAAAAAATCAACTAGAGGAGCATATGGAGGTCATGTTGAAAGAAAGAGATATTAACACTAAATGCTTGAATGACTTGCAAAATGACTTGGGAATTCTTAGCAGGAGCATGGACTCCCATGTTTCTGCCAATGAAATTCTCAGAAGAAAATCGTTGGAGCTTGAAAATGGAAAACATGAACTGGAGCGTCACATGTCAGACCTGGAAAAGGAAAAAGGACAATTGGCAATGCAAATGTCTGTTTTAGAAGCTCAACTAATGTATTTGACAAATGAGAGAGATTCTAGTCTATCAGAATTAGAGAACTCCAGATCTCACGCCAAAATGCTTCAAGAGGAGATTATGAAGATAAAGTCTGAGGTGGATTCTTCAATAGAAGATTTGAAACAGAACTTAAAGGTGACACAGTGTCAGTTGTCAGAATCTCAACAAAAATGTGAATATCTAAGAAGAGCAAATCTGCAGTTACAAACTACTATTGAGAATCTCGCTAAAGAATGTGATTCTCTTCAGAAATTAAATGGAGATTTAGGAAAGCAAAAGCAGGAATTGCAAGTGCATTGCTCAATCCTCGTAGATAGGTTGGGAGAATCAGACCAAAAATTTACAGATTGCTCTGAAAGAGTGGAGCTCTTGGAAAATAAATTTGCTTTTGTGCTGGAAGAGAATGCCTCAAAGGAGAAGAGTCTAATTTCGGAATTAGATGTTCTTGCTGATGAAAATATCAGACAGGACGAGCGTGGTGGAAGCTTGATGAATCAGATTCTCATGGAGAAGACAGCAGAAATTGAGAGCCTTCAACAAAAAATTGAGCATCTTTGTATGGAACTTTCAGCTACTCGTAACGAAAATGAAAGGATAGCTTCCAATGCTACCCTTGAAATTTCTGCATTAACTGCTGATAAAGCCAAACTGCAATATGCCTTTGAAGAAGTTCAATCTGATGTAATTTCAACTAAGAATGAGATGAATATTATGCAAACAGATTATGAACGAAAGCTGCAGGACCTCACAACCCAGTTTTCTGCTTTCAAAAGTGACCAGGAAATTTGGATGGCTGACCATGAAAAGTTGTTGAAGCAGGTGGACGATTACAAATCTAGAGAACTAACAGTCAATAGCACTCTGAAATCCCTTGAATTAAAGCTTAACGTCACTGAATATGAAAGGCAACAGCTTATGGAGGAGTCTGAGAATTTGAAGATTCAACTGCATCAGATAGAAAGATTTGAGAATGAAAATATGGCTCTTAGAAATGAGCTCAACTCAACCAATTCTGAGAAAGAAACACTGGGAGCATCTTTATGCTTCATTTCTGAATCATGTGAGAATCTGAAGGCAGAGAAAAAATCACTTGTGGAAAAGATTTTAACCTTGGAGAATGCTGTGTCTGAATTGGAAGACTGCAGAAGGAGTAGAGTATCCTTAGAAGAAAAGCTTATGCGGATGGAGAGTGATTTGAAGGAAAAGGAAACAATATCTGCTCAGGAAGCTGAGAAGAAAAATGAGCTCAGTCACATCAAAAGAATAAACAGGCATTATCAACAAACAATACGATTACTAGACAAGGAAAAGGATGAGTTCAAGACAAAAGCCGAAGCCCTTGAAGAAGAAATGAAACTAATAAAGGAACAAAAGCAAAATCTGAAGTCTGAGATTAATGGGAAGACATTACGTGCTCATGAAGCTCTGGAGGTATCAAAACTTAATATTCCTTTTGCTCATCTTTGCATGTTACGTTTGGTGTCATTTTTTTTTTTTCAAATTTTGCAGAATTCTGTTGTGCAGAATCCTGGTCAACATCGTGGGAATAGGACAAAGTCATTCTTCAGAAATGATAGAGAAAAGGTGCAGGATGAACGGGACATTTCCACTGGCAAGCATCAGAGCGAGGTTATTCATTCAATTAGAGTATTACTTTATTGCATTTTGTACTAGAAATTGGAGAGAAAGAAACACAAAATGGAGAAGTCGTAAGTTCATTCTCAAGAGTCTGTTTACAACCTTCCACACTACATAGAAGATTCATTATAGTTGCTGGGTCTTACTTATTGGGCCTCAGACTTTTATATTACTCTACCATTCTGCCTCGGCATTAAATATTATGACTTGTATTTCTAATTTCTTAGATGTGGCTTTATATGGCAATCTCTCTTAACTGCAATTATGCTGAAAATTTCGCTGTAGTTCTTAATGCTTATGTTCCTGGAGACGTTTTCTTTTGACAGGTGGAAAATGAATTTGGACTTCTTGATGGGAGTGCTCATGCTGTTGAAGCTGATTCATTGTCAAATATTGAGTTACATGAGACTGAACTAATAAAAGCTGAAGGAGCAAATAACATGATTGAAGATCAATCAAACTGGTTAGAGAAACTGGCTGTTCCTTAAAAACGAATTAATAGAACTTTTGATGTGTGTATAGCCCATTGCACAAATACTTTTAAGGACTTCCATTTTTCTCTTTTAAAAAAGAACTGTTCAGAAAGGATAGGCTGATGTCCTGAGAGGACACATGTTTTTATACCATTGGTTATGTCTGTGCACAGATTTTGACAACCTTGTGATTTTTCTCAACATCAGTCAATATCTTGCGACACTTGCTGATTTGCACGTGCTATTATTCCACAGGGGTCAATCCCAAGGCCGGAATCACAAGGAAGCCCCAATGGCAGACGGTGACATAGTGACAAAAGAAAGATTTGAACGAACAAAATCAGTGCTAGAGGCTGAGTTGAGAGACCTTCAGGAGCGTTACTTCCATATGAGCCTAAAATTTGCTGAGGTAGAAGCTCAACGTGAGGAACTTGTAATGAAACTGAAGGTAGCTAAGAACCAAAAGGATGTGACCCTTTAATTAACTTCAATTGTCAGCTTTCTTGATTCAAATGTCTGAGTTCCTTATCTGCGAAAGGATAGTGTGTGTCTTTTTTGGGAATGAATCATTGATTGGGATCATAACAAAACAATAAAGGTCGTAGCATATATCAGTTTTCTGTTACTCGAGGGGGAATAACACTAGAAGTGACTGTTAATATTTAGTTTGACTGTCATTTCATGAATGTTACTGTCATATATTGGCTCCAAATGCTGCTATTATTTAATACAGAAAAAGGGGGCATTACTAATTATTTTGTATTATAGTGCCTAACGATGATCCCACTAGCTAGGAGAGCAGGAGAGAGGGCGACAGCATGATAGCTTTGAGGTGCTTGCATAGGTCGGCACTGTCCTGAACCGCTTTTAAACAATTTGCATAACTAATAACTCATTTTTTTTGCCTAACAGAAGATATTTGGTATTCTAAATTTCTAACATAAGGCAAGGGAGCAAAAATTTGAAAGGTTAAACTCAACAAAGATGTCCA